TTTGGGACCCTACAAGGCCTCCTGCTCCAAGAGGCTGCGCCGGCGCAGCAAGACTCACAAAGACTTATTTCTGGCGGAGTTTGGGGGAGAGAAAGAAAGACTTCTGCTGCTTCTGCTGCTTTCCTTGCATGAAGCCAAAAGTCTCTCCTCTCTCTCTCTCTCCCCCCGTGAGAACGGAGCTGGAGACGGTATCCTGCGATCCCAAATAAAGAACGATCGATCGGTAGGAAAACGGGGTGGGGGATTTTCCTGCAGACTTTTGGGGGGATTCTCCCAGGGTCTCTGGTCCGCGGGATTTAAAAGGATGAGTTTGGTGGTCCCTGAGGTCCAAAAGCTTGGCGACCCCTATTCTAGCCCGACCCACAACCTCTGCCCTTCCTTTCTCTTTCCCCCTCCAGGAGAAAGTCCTGCGGATGTTGTACGTCTGGGCCCTCTGCAGGGATCCCGAAGAGCTGAACCCCTACGCCGCCTGGCGCCTGCTGGACATTTCCGCTTCCAGCACTGAGCAGATCCTATGAGTCGGCCCAGGGGGTGGGGGAGCTCGACAGCGATCCTGCAGAGTGCCCCACCCCCCTGTCCTGCGCAGAGTCCAGCACGAGGGACCCCAGCGGGGCTGGGCCAGGGGTGCTGGTTCGGATGTAGATGCTGGGAGACCCTCCCCCTGTACCCTCTTTTTCTGGTCTTCAGACTTGGAACTTGCTAGCATCCGGGCACGATGCGGGGCAGCGCTGACCCCCCCGCCCCCTTGCCCTCACGGATGTCTGGGTCTCCCAGGACGGACACCGGCCTGCGCTTTGCCAAAGTTATGCCTGTTCCGAAACTCGCTGCCCCTTCATCCTCGCGCCGAAGAGGCTTCCGGAAGGCTCCTTGCAGCGGATTCATCAGGCTGAGCTGGACGCGGGGGGGGGGGCTGCCAGGGGGGGCAGGGAGACGACCCACACACACATACGCGGGAGAGGAAAACGGGGTGGAGAGAGAGAGGGAGGGTCTTGAGGCGCAGAAGGCCGGCAGAAGGTGGTTGGTCTTCCTTCCAGGAGCTATTTCCTCACAAGGTTGGCAGGCTCAGGGTGGAATCTGGGGTCTTTGGTACCCCCTTTTTTGCAGCCCTGGCCGGGCTTGGAATTGGCTTAGCACCCTTGACGGGGTGCTGGGCGGGGGGGGGGGGGGGGGGGAAATGGCCCCCTCCCCATAAGAGTCTCCCATGCCCCCTCTGTAAATTAAAAAAAAAGATACGGCCCACCCTACATGTGTACATATCTGTTTTGACCCAGCTCCGCAAACACGACCAACCCTCTGAAGTTAAAAGATTCCTTTATTAGGAGGGCCGGCACCCCTGGCAAAAAATTTCTGTCTCACTAAGTCCATCCAGCCGGAAGACAAATAGTTGTCTGCCATCTCTATTCATCTCCACCCCTGCCTTTTATCCCCCAGAGTCAGGGTGGGGCTTCGCTAGCAGCCATGGCTCTTCC